CCACCCCGGACCCCGCTGGCTCGGGCTGTGTCGCAGCAGGCCCTCCTGCGCGGCTCGCGGTGGGATGCTGAGGCCGCCGACACGCCGCCCCGACGGTCTCCTCACAGCTCCCTTCGCTTGGACCCGCAGCCCCGGGTCTGCGGTGGCAGCAGGCGAGGGCGCCGCTGCTCCCTGCGTCCGGCACCCCCACGACGCGGTAATTCTGGCGCTGTCAGGCCCGGCGAGCGTGGCTGCGGCAGGCAGCCTGCTTTCAAGCACAAGATAAGGCCCCAGAAATACTTTGAACACAAATATGTAAAAATTAGATATGCACGTGGGTACAGAGAGGAAAATGAAAGCCGTAAATTTGTATGCAAGGTGGGGGATTGCGTTGGGACGCTTTTATTGTTCCCTGTCATGCATTCTTCGCGCAGTTCTGAGCAGAGTCACAAAGACCGGGCTCTGCGGCCTCTGGCTCCCCAGGAACAGCCCCGAGAACACGCACCGGCGGGGCGGGCTGCCGAGCGCGGGCCATGGCCTGCAGGCCGGCCTCGCCCCTCCCTGCGGGCCTGGTGCCCTGGCCAGTGGCTCTCCTGGACACGGGGCGCCAGGAGCGGGCGCCGGGGGCACGGGCCCGCCGTCTAGCTTGGCATACTTTCCACAGGGCAACCTTTGCACGAGCCGTCCCCAACTTCCCAGCCAAGGTTCTCTGGGTCACCTGGACAGCGCAGCAAATTCAGCGCTGTGTCACCCACCCGGGCGCTGGACGACACTGGCCGTTTCCCGCTGCAGGAGCCCTCGGAGCAGCCGTGGCTCGGGTCGGGAGGGCGGGAGGGGCCAGAGGAGCTGGAGCACCGTCACCCAGAAAGCGAGAGCTACCGGCAAGTGGGGTCCCGCGGACAGACGCAGGGGCCGACGCCCGAAGGCTCCCGCCCCGCCAGGACTGGGGCAGTCCGGCGAGCTCAGCCGCCTCTGGGCGGGGCCAGGGGCCGGAGTCACTATCTTGAAAAGAAGGGAGGGGCAAGAGGCGAGGGCACCCCACCTTCCTCCACCACGTCTCGCTACCCACGGATGGCCGCGCCTTTCAACACAGAAGTCTCGTCCTGACTCCGGGGGAGGGCAGAGGCTGGCTAGCGTCGCCTCACGGCCCGGACGGCCCGGTCAGCTGTGAGGACGGTGGGCAGAGACGAGACAGGTGCCGCCTGCTTGTCGCCGCCAGCCGGGGGTCTGTGGACCTCTCACTCGGGCAGGGGTGGGGGACAGGTCACCCGTGTC